AATGTGTAATTTAACCTCTGTTACTTATGCTGTAAAACTGATTCTTATGCAAGGTAGCTTTCCAACTCTTGATTGCTATTACCTTTGTTTGCCTATGTTGTTTTTGTTTTAAAATACTTATTACAGAAGAACCTTTAAAATACGTTACAGAAGAACCTTTAATAGGGATTGTTATCAGGTGAAGTAGGGAGTGGCTGGTTTTCCAGGTTCCTATTGTCCTGTTCAGTGAACTGGTCAGGTTCTTCTTTGGTGAATTTGAAAAAGTACTGTTTATTTTAGGGCAGAAATAAGTAAAGGTAAAGAAAGGCAAAGGAAGTGCTCAAGAAGAAAAGGATGGCGGAAGAGGGAAGTGAGTCGGACACCCGGCTGCAGGGTCGGACCGGGCTGGACTTGTGAGGTAGAGCCAGCGCCCAGAAGAGGCCTTCGCCGCGGTCGGGATCCGGGATGTCAAAGAACACTGTGTCGTCGGCCCGCTTCCGGAAGGTGGACGTGGATGAGTACGATGAGAACAAGTTCGTGGATGAGGAAGACGGGGGCGACGGCCAGGCCAGGCCCGACGAGGGCGAGGTGGACTCCTGTCTGAGGCAGAAACATGACAGCTGCTCTCCAGGCAGCTCTGAAAACCCCCCTATCAACACCAAGAGTCAGGCAGTGAAGGATCGAGCAGGCAGCATTGTCTTGAAGGTGCTCATCTCTTTTAAAGCTAATGATATTGAAAAGGCCGTTCAATCTCTGGACAAGAGTGGTGTGGATCTCCTAATGAAGTATATTTATAAAGGCTTTGAGAGTCCCTCTGACAATAGCAGTACCATGTTACTACAATGGCATGAAAAGGCACTTGCTGCTGGAGGAGTAGGATCCATCGTTCATGTCTTGACTGCAAGGAGAACCGTGTAGTCCAGCAGGAGCTGGCTACCTGCCACGCAAGTGGGAGTTGATGGTACAAAGACCAAAACAACCAAATGCCACCACTACCCTGTGGGTAGCATCTGTTTCTCTCAGCTTTGCCTTCATGCTTCCTTTTCATATCTGTGAAGAAAAAAATTACATATCAGTTTTTTCTTGAATGAAAATTGAGATAATGTAGAGGAAATTTTATTTCAACAAAAGTATTTCACCTTCTCATAATCATTTCAATGATCTGTATACCATTCTGTATATAGTATAATTTACATTGAACTTTAATTGTGATTTTTAACTCGTATTGGCTGGTTTTTATGTTTTATATTATTTTTAATTAATACTGAAAGATTTGACCAGAATTTGAGGTCAGTTTCCTAATCATTACTAGTCAGGAAATTATCTTTATTTTTTAAAAAGAAAAAGTATATATGAGAGACTGGCAGCTATTCACATTGCAAAACTGGACCATACTTATGTAAGCAAAATGTGTTTTCAGAACAAGTGGTAGGTAAGCGCCACTACAATTTTCCAGCTTTATTTTTGTTTGCCTCCAGATGATCTTAAGCGTGAGTTTAAGTATGCTACTACTTTTTAGCATCCAGTTATCATGGCCTCTCAATTTCTTTGTGGTCGCCCAGGGTCCAGAGCAAAGCACTTTGCTCTATACAAATGTATCTAAAATATTAGAGCTTGTTTGGCAGAAATATCAAGTTTTCTTCCCATAATATGGGTCTGTTTGGGAGACTTTCTCCAAATCAGAAAGGATGCATAAACTATGCTGTAATTCTTATTCTGGGCAGCCTTTGAAATACTATTTTCTTTAGAAATACGGTAGCTGCCTTATACATTATATGGTATATGACAAGTGTTTAATATACCATTGGATATGCCCTATAAATGTTCTCAGTATTCTTCAGGTTAATTGGGGTCTCAAAGGATTTGGTTCAGATCCAAACAAATACAGTCTGTGTTTCAGCTCAGTGTTCTTTAAAAAAGAAAATGCCACACAGCAAAACATTGTTTACTTTGTTGGACAAACCAAATGGGGCCTCAAAAAAATGACCGGTGCTTATAAAAAATTGTTAGTATTCAGTGGCTCCAGAATAAACTACCTGAATGCATATGACCAAGAGGGAAATCATCCTGTGTCTAGTATTTACATTGGATACCAGTTTCATAATCACTGACTTACATGCAAACTGGTGCAGAAATTCTATAAACTCTTTGCTGTTTTTGATATCTGCTTTTTGTTTGTTTTGTTTTGTAAAAATGATAAATCAGAAAATAAAATGTCAGTGAAGAAGAGGAAGAGGAAGAGGAAGAGGAAGAAGAAGAAGAAGAAGAAGAAGAAGAAGAAGAAGAAGAAGAAGAAGAAGATATGAAGAAGAAGAAGAAAAGGATGCTTTGCAGGAAAGAGAAGATAATGTCTTGCAAGCCAAATGAACTAAGAACAGGAGCTCAGCACACAGTCACGTGCCACCATGTTTTTATGTCCTCTTTGGGAGTTGATTCGAGCAGTCCCACTGGTCTTGTGCTAGAAGATTGGTGTCAGGTGCTAGGCTCAACTTGTTCTCACAGTGGAAGACTAGTACCAGGTGCAGAGCTCAGCTTGATCTCGTGTCAGGCTTGGGTGCTGCTGTTCTGCACAGTGGTGAGTCTCTTGCCTCCCCCAAGTCTCAATTATAGAATCAGTGTCTTCATGTTAACCTTTTCCTGTGGGGTCAAGGATACAGAGACTGTACACTTTTTTTCCTCCATTGTGTCTTGTTTCCACACATGACCTTAGTAGTATTTACTCATTCCCCAGAATTCCTTGACTTATCACACATATCATAGTAATTTTATGTCTACAATCTAACATTATTTATTTGCTCTTATATATTTTCCTTTTGATGAAAACTGCCCTCTCAATGGGTAGCTTGAGCTCTATCCAGGCTCCTATCCTGTGCTCATTTGGTTGTTCCTCACCAAGAAACACAAAGTACCTCTGAGCCTTTGCACGTGTTCTTCCATCGTTGTGACTCTCCTGAAATCTACTTTGTGGAATGCTGCTCTCTGTTCACTACCTACCAGCAGCCCCAGATCCTGCTCCTGTGTTCATCCCCAGCATCTCTTGTAGGTTAGAGTTGGTTATAACCTTTCTGTCTCCTACAGCACAGACTCCACCCTACTCTGCTATCTTGTCCTTTTCTTGGTCTTCATATACATTGAGTGAACATCCTTAATTTGCATTTCATGAAACCAAGAACCCTATGCCTGTGATCACAGTGCTAATGCAGTATTATCCTCTTTCTGTGCTCTGATCCTGTCAAGGGATGTTGTACAATAACAGCTTCCTCCTTCTGCCCCTGTGCATGTCTTCGTAAGGTCCATTCTAGTAATCTCGAGAAGTAATTCAGTACAAAGCAGAAGATTTAGCAGAAAGTATGTGTTTTGGAATCTGCCTAACCAGAAAGATTTAAGGAGGCTATTAAAATTTTTTTGCAAATGTCACTTGTACCAGAGAAACAACAAGAGCATTTATCACTCACTTTCTAGCTATAAAACAGTCTCAGCTACATTGAAGCTGATTACATTGGTCATGCAGTAAAGATAATTTATTCATCATGCACAAATCTCTTATTAACTAAAATCAGGATCTTAAGTACTAACTGAAAGTAGAGCTGACATATTCCTGCACAATTACCCTTTAGACCAAAAAGGCTCCTCCTGAGAGTGCTTTGTAAGTGTTTTCTTTCCTAAACCTAATTATTGTTGACTTCTGCATATGTCTAATAATTAAAGTATTCAGAGAACATTAACTTTTTTCTCCTTTACTACTCCAATTTTAATTCATATATTTCATGACTGGGAGCTTTCTGTTTAAAGTCTTCCTGGTTTTCTGAATGGCTTTTACTTAATGTGTCTTATAAAGTTAGGGACTCATTTATAAAGCATATGAATTCCTTTCCTGGGAGAATGTTGATTTCTATAGAGAACCAAGCATTTTTGGAGAGGTCTTACACTTCTCTGACACAGGAATCTCTCTCTCTCAAAGCCCCATAAAGACCACTCAGCAGCTTGGTCTCCTTAAAACCCAAGAATGTAGTCCACCCCGAATGAATTCTTTCATTGCACATCCTTTCCTGGGAATTCAGCAGACACCAGTGGGCTTTCCATTCCACAAGTAAATCCCCTGGTGATATTTTCTTCTGGCTCACTTGTAAAATAAGTAGTTGAGAGTTACTTTTGCTTTTTTCCTCCCTGTATCTGTTATGTGTGTGATGACTGTATATAAGGGGGCAAGAGTGTGTGTGTTTTGAAGTTCCTATGACAATGCTGAACTTTATCTTGTTCATAGTACAGTGTAGAGACCAGAGGTTGCAAGATCCATGCTGGGTTGACAAGAGGATGTGTGTACATGCAGGTGAAATGTGGCTGCATTTCTGCATTGCCTTCCTGCTAGCAGATGCAAATGGGAGGAAATAGGGCATGAGGTGGTATTCTGTTACTCACTATTTCCATTTTTCTCCTTACCCATCCTCTTTCCCTACCTCCTAATTCTACTGTCTTCATGGATGTAAATAAGATATGCTGATCTGTTAACCTGCCAAGGGTCCAGATTAGATGATGTGTTGGTTTTTCAGTAGCTCCAACCCTAACATGTTCCTATGTCATCTTCAAAAAAGGAAGTCACTACCTGTGGTATGTTCCAGATGATGGGTGCATTGTTGGTATTTAGTAGACTCTTAATTATTTTGCTTACTGTAACCTCATTGGTAATAGTCACTGTTTTTTAAAACCTTTGAATCTGAGGAGGTAGAGAAATCCAGTTTTCTCAAGAAGTGTCTGAAGGGGAAATGTTTCTCCTTGCCTGATAGATGACTCTTGCTCAGTATATACATATGTATTTGATCAGAGGCACGCTTTCACTTTTGTGCCCTGGCTGGCCAAAGATGTGACCATCTGTTGAGCCCCAAAGGAGTCCTGATCTCTGGGGATGGAACAAAAACTCTACCAGTTCTCTTTGTGACTATCTTTGTCTTACCTCAATAGACATAACCATTAGGCATTTATCTTGCATCCTTGGTCAGATGGCTGTCTTTTTTTTTCCTCAGGGAGGAAGATGAATACTCTGAATTGCGATCAGAGCTCAGCCAGAGCCAGCACGAGATTAATGAGGACTCCCGCAGCATGGACCAAGACCAGACCTCCGTCTCCATCCCTGAAAACCAGTCTACCATGGTCACTGCAGATATGGGTGAGTCTGTGAGCCACCAGCACTAAGCCCAAGTTTGCTTTCTTAATTGCAAAAGGAATCTGAAAAACGTGGGCGAGCTTGAATTAAAAATTATTCCTAGAGTTTGTGAGTGGGTGAGAACATACTCATTTTAGTTCCTTACTCACTGCTTTGTTGCTCAAAGTGAAACTGAGGAGCTGAATTAGCTTTCTATACTGACAGGAGTGTGATAGAAGCATATGCTACCTATGTGAAAATTCTTGAAGCAGGAAACCAGTTAGAAAGGCTCTTTCAAGTGTTCCAACTTTGCAGTCATAGCCAAACTGTAACAGTGGGAGTGGGAAAGGTGAAATGGTGTTAACCTTCTTGCAGTGGCAGAGCCCTAGTACCTTTAGTAGCAATGGGTGAGAAGGAAGGATTGAAATGACTTCAGCATGTTGATCCTAAGTGACTAAGAGGATAATCATAATCTTTGGTAAGGAATTTTGGTTGAAAAACACGTTGAGAAATAGCCATACTATGTTTGAAATTGCAGAGCAGTATCCATGTGGAAATATCTGGTACACTGTGTCTTAAACTTCAGGTTGTGACCCTCTATTGAGTCTTTTTTTTTTTTTTTTGGTGGCGAGGGTTGGGGAGGTTTGTTGGTGGTACCAGGGATCAAACTTAGGACCTTGTGCATGCCAGGCAAGCACTTATTCCACTGAGCTATCTCCCCGGCCGCCCTCTATTGAGTCTTGAAATTATAAAAATAAAATATTTTAGAAATGAAAAAAAAAAAAAATGGCAGCATTTTGTTTCCTGAAACTTGTTTGTTGTGTGTGTGCATGTAGTAGGCTGCCAAATGTGCTAACTGGGAGCTGCAGTAACAGTGCTCCAAGACTCTGGTCCCTTGGAAATGCCTACCTGGGTGTTTGGAGAGAGACTGAGGTGCAAGGTAGAGGCTTTAAAGCTATAGGTTGAAAGGGTGTGGAGTCAAAGAGACAGGCACAGCATGCCTTAGAAAATGGTCACACGTAGAGGAGAGACAGAAAAAGAACCAGGGGAAAGTGAGAACAGTGAGTTTTCATGGAAGTTAATTTTTCACTAGGGAGTGATATTTTAATGAAACATAGTACATTTTATATTTAATTCTAGGTCTTTATACACATGATAATATCATTAAATGTGCTACCATGAAAATTGTCAAAGGAGTTTGATTTGGTCCACGGTTCTAGGAAGGCTTCTTTTAGAGTGACATATGATCTAAAATCCAGAGGACCAGTAGGAATTAAGCAGGTAAAAGTGGAGATGGCACCCAGTGAAGGGACTAAGTGTTTTAAAGGATGTGAGAGACTGCTGTGGTGCATTTTGAGGTTGGTAAGGTCCCGGATCACCCTCAGTCTTTTTTTGTTTGTTTGTTTTGTGGTACCAGGGATTGAACTCAGGACCCTGCACTTGCCAGGCAGGCAGTTAGTCTACTGAGCTGTCTCCCCACCCTCAGTTTTACAGACCATGTTAGGAAGCCTAGCCTTTCTCCAAAGACCTCTAAGGAGGTACTGAGAGATTTTAATAGTGGGGGATGGGATGAGATGATCACATTTGCCATTTAACTTGATGTGAGCAATGACCAGGAGTGAGCAGGGAAGCTAACCAGAAAACCAGTCAGAAGTTTGGATGGACACAATTGCTGCTAGGTCTAGGGTGGTGGCAGTTGCAGTTTAATTTAGAAAAGGATACAGATGTGGGAAAGATACTCATTTGGCAAGATTTGCTAAGGGATTGAAAACAAAGTAGAGGTGGAGATGTGCTTATGGATGTGCCAGAAGAGCCTGTTTTGTGCAGCAGGTGGATAATGGGGCCACTCACCAGTATGGTAGTATAGGGGAAAAGGATTAGGTGGCTTGGCTTTGAGTTTTGTTTCCTTTTGTTTTGCTAGGTGAGAGTAGGAGGGTGGATAGGTGCTTTGTTGGGCAGTCTTGAAATACCCGAATTAAATTGCTTCAGAAGGCAATAAGTATTGAAGTAACAAAGTTCAGGGGAGTGTTTTGGAATGAAGAAAACTAGCTAGGAGACCACAGCTTATGTTCATGTGGTAAGGAAGCCATGGAAGTTGATGGCAGACTGATAAGCAGCCTCAGGGTGGTGGCGGCAGGGTGTGGGGGACTGACCGTGGTAGTGATGCCCCATGTTTATCCTAGTGTGACTGTGCCTCCTCAGAAAGCCCCAGCCTGTGTGAGTGAGTGTTGTGCTGTCTCATTTTTTTTTTTCTGCTTATGTCACATTGAAATTCTAAAGTATGGATACTTATTTGTCTCTCTCATTAAACTCTTGAGAGAACGTTTGTTTGATCTACTACATTTCCAGAGCCTGTTCCAAGGCCTGGCATATGGTATATGTTTAAAGATCCTGTTTGAATAGATAAATGAAGCAATCAACTAGTAAACCAAAGATACAGGGAGAAAATAGGGTGGAGGTCCTGGTGTTTAGCCATCAGGGCAAAAAAGGCCCTAGTATGAAAGAGGCGGTCAGCAGTCTAGATAGCTTCGAAGGCCCCATACGATGGATTTACCTGCATCAGAGTCAGTGAGAGCTGTATGTTGATTGATACTCAGCTTCAACCAGACAGAATCAATGTAAGAATAAACACACCCCAGGGCCCATTAGACCCACCATAAAGGCTGGGCTTTAGGTTCAGGTTAGTTTGATTCAGGCTGAAACTGCCTTCCTGAAACTCATCTGAACTGAAGCCCCAGGTTTTATGTTGAGCCACATATAACCCTACTACCAGCCTATCCCTGAGCCAAAATGCCACATGCTTAGGTCATGCCACCATTGTCAGTCTCCAGGCATAGCAGCCCCAAGCTTCTGGAATCTGACTCCCAGCCTTAGGCAGCCAGATTCAAGAAATCTCCCAAATCTGCAGGGGTCAACCCTACACTGAACCTTCCATTTGTTCCTTTCAAATTCTATTTTATGAAATTAGAAAGTGTTCTGCACTGTCTCATGATTCAGTAAGCTTGGGAGATGCAGGGATAAACCTAATGAAACGGGCCTCTTCCTGTGGGACTTCCCAAGCTCTGGCCACACTCGGCCTCCACAGTCCTGACTCTTCCTGGGAGGTGCCTGAACCTGCCTATCTCAGTCACCGGACCTCTTCATTTCCCCATGTCATTCATTTCAAATCATTTCTTTCCATTTTGTCATTTATATAAAAATGTATAATTGTAAACAATAGTGGTATCTTTCATGGCAAGACTGAACTGTGGAGGGCCTTGCTGCCTCTCCCCAGTGTCAGGACATGTGCTTTACCCACACAGCTTTTACTCACCTATTCAGTGAACTCACTGGGTGTTGTGATATAAGACAGAATCTGTCCCCGGATGGCTCTATTCCCACATTCTAGCCCCTTAGACCTGGATGCTATCCAGGCCTCAGAATTGCATAGAGCCCAGGCCCTTGCCTTATCCTCTCCCACTCTCCCTATTTGTCTTTCTGTTCTTGGCCTCCTCTCTTGGCATCGCTCCAACCAGTAACTTCTCCGGACTTCAGGTTCTGCACTGGCTGTGGCTCTACATGGAGCACTTTGTCCTGCTGTCTCCATGTGCCATTCTCTTACTCCACTGCTGCCTCCACACATCTCCCCCGTGCCTCATCTTGAGCCTGCAGTGTCAGTCTTTTACCCTTGCTCTCTTCATACCACTTAGCTCTACCAGAGGAAATTCTCTAACTCTTCTCTGTCTCTGTCTCTCTGTCTTTTTTTAAAATTTTTTTTCTCTTTATCTGTCTGTCTCTTTCTCTTTCTCTCTCTCTATATATGTGTGTGTGTGTGTGTGTGTGTGTGTGCACGCGCAAGTCCCTATTACCAGTTTGTGTCTCAGGCTAGATTATAAGCTGTGTGAAGTAGATAGTTTAGCGACCTTGAGTACCAGCTTCATGGTGCCTGCACACAGGATACACTGAAATACCTGGATAGGCATGAATATCATCTTGGAGCCATAGTTCTTTGGTGGCTACTCACAGGTCAGCAGGAAGAGCCAGAGGTGAGACAGGCCCACACAGCAGGCAACAGAGTGCCTGATGGTATCCTTGGATGTGAGCCCACTTCCCAGAAGTTTCATCTGAGGGCTAAATGTGAACAGTGCAGGTGAAGAGGTAGGAGGGCTGCTCTGGGCCCCATAGATCCCAAGGAGGACAGGCACTTGAGGAGCATCTGGAGGAGGTCATTCAGCCTGCAGTACTATACTGTCAGTGTTTGTTAATCGGAACAAACTGGCCAGCTGCCTCTTACTCCTTTGCCATTTTCCAGTTAAATTGCTTCAATAGGGAAAAAGGCTTCCGTATATAAACACCATTATAGGAAATCATTAAAAAGCATCCATTTCATTATGGTTGCTATATTTGCAAATTTGCATTAGCAACCCAGGGGTTTTTTGAAGTTGGATTTTATATATGGAGTTTTCTGGGTGTATTTGCTGATCACCAAAGATAGCAAAAGCAAGTCTAGTCCATTCACTTCATTAAAAGCACTTTTCCTTTGTTTCAAACCTCACCTGGCACCTGGCTACTGCTTCAGTAAGCAATTTCCTGGACTCTTCACCTGGCCTGAAGGTATATGCAAGCAATGAGGTTTGCAGCCCACTGCAACTTGAAGCAAGCGTCATTACCTCTTTCCATGCATTGTGGGGTTTTTTTGGTACCAGGGATCAAACTCAGAGCCTTATGCTTGCCAGGTAGATGCTTATGTGCCACTAAGCTATCTCTTCATCCCTACCTCTTTCAAACCAGGTCGCAGAGTCACTTGGGGATTAAATGGACAAAGCTAGCATAGGAATCGTGACTTAGAATACAAACTGTCTCAATCTAGAGACAGTGATAAAGCAAAGCTGAGTGTACCAACTAGAATACTCTGCTCACATCCTCTGTGCCATGTTAACCCCCAACCTTGAAGGAGAACAAGCTAGAGAGCAAAGTTCAGGAAGTTTAGTCACCTCTCCAAAGCCATCCAGCTAAGAGATGGTTTTTGTTGCTGTGCCGTGTTC